CACAAACCCCTCCTACCTTTGTGTTTAGAGCTTTGGATACAGGACTCCTTGGAAAAATCTTGCTGTTTGATCCTTCATGTTGTAAATTATTCTTAGATGCGTATGGGAGAATTTTTTAATTTATTTATTGCTTGGGAGCCATAAGCACTTGGTGACAGATTGTACATGATACAAGCATTATTCCCTGAAAAAGCTAAATGATATCTATTCCTGAGCAGCCACAACGTAAACAGAAACTTTAACATAAGCCAAGCTGTTTTTTAATTTTTTATTGCTGTCGAGTATTTTGAAAATAGAACGGTTATCAGGAACAGGAGATGTAAACATCAATTCCAGATTAGGAAACTTTTAAGATGGAAGCTTGAGAGCATATAAATAAAAGGAGGGGTGAAAAACTTTGTCTTTTTTCCAAAACTTTCAGTGTGAATCTTATTTATGGATACAGTGCAGATACTTCGGTGCTTGGTGCACAGATAAATTAGACAGTAGATGGAACCCTTAAAGTCAACAGTCACCACACAGTGGTATCTGAGATAGCAGGATTTTTTCTCATGCTTATGTAGGAAATATTACACTATTCTTTATTTAGATTATGATAGCACCCACCATGTGTTAGGCATTTGCCTAGTGCAGAGGGAAGACACAGGCCCTGCATCAGTATAGGGGTTCATCTGTGAAGAGCAAAATGCAGGAGCGAAGACTAAAAGACGTACGAAGGAAGGGGATACAACACACAAAGCAAAGCAATCAAGGTGAAGATATGCACCTCTTATTAGTCCCACAGTGATTTATTTAATATAAAATTATCCCCAATTCCTCCTCTACCAACCATTATTTGTTCCCGACCAATCTTTGTCTAGAGAGCCAAATTACTTTAATATTTTTTCAAACATGTTACAATTTTCTACCTAAACTGTCCCCTTACTCAGGACCTGCTCCTCACAACTTCCCTCGAAAGTGAACCAAATCTCTCACTCTGTCCCCCTACAGCATCCTTCCAAGACTCCTCCCCACCCTCTCTTTTGTTGACGACTATATGCTGGCTAGCATATAAATATATCATATTAATAATATGCATTATCAGCACCATACATAGATTAATATGCATTAAGCACCAATACTTGTAACAGTGATATAGCCTAAACTGGCCTATACCATAATCCTATTCATTTATGCTAATTATCCCATAACTCCTTGCGTTAGCTGAAATAAGCATTTGGCATAAGCAGATAGGAAACTTGTCAAAATCAAGATACACTTGTTCCGTGTCTTAATACAAGCTAGGAAAATACCTTCTCGGACCAGTACCTGGAATGCTAGTATCCAAAATAAAGATAAGGAAAGAACGGAACAAGTTAGGGAACTGGGACAAACTGATGAGTTGGGTTTTAGTGTCACGCAAAGAGATATAAATCATCATATAAATAATACCAGCTGAAATGTAAAATCATCATATAAATAATACCAGCTGAAATGTATAACTTGGGGAGCACACCTTCTGCATAAGGCAAATGTAACATCGCTGCATGGGGCTGTTCTTTAGAGACTGGTATCATATAGAACCCTTTCCTGTGCCATATTAATAAACCTGACTGACATTGCTTATTTGGTCTTTTGAGTATATTTCATAAGGAACCAAAGTGTGGTCAAGCAATTGACTATACAATTTATTAACACTTTGTACAAGACTCCATTCCTTAGACAGATTAGAAATTCGGAAAGGTAAGGGCTTCATGCTGGTGAGTTTGAACTGATATATCAAGAGAACTGCACAAATAAGCCACTCATGAACTGTGGACCAATACCTGTTATTAACTCATTTACCGTACCCTGGGGAGCAAACTGCAATTTAAATGTTGTGGTATTGCAACATGATGCATGGGGCAAGTTTAATTTTTAAAAAACACCACAAACCTGAGTAGTAGTCTACCAATAAGAGATAATATTTCCCATTTAATTTGAATAGATCTACACCAATCATGGGCCAACGGTGATCAGGAATCTCATGTGGTTTCCAGTGGTTCTTTTTTATCCTGTTTTCTGCATTCACTGCAGATTTCACATTTAGATAGCTATCTTGCCTTTGACAATAGATCTCAGACTCTATTCTTACATTTCTCAATACCCAGACGGCACTGTGGATTGTTCTTACCATTTTTGACCTCATGATGGGCAGTTCTGACATGATGTCTTTACAGAATCCCATCTCTACACAAGTCCTGATCAACAATGCACTTGGCATCCTTGTCACTTGGTCTTTTCAAAGGACCATTGGGATCACTACTGTTATCAGCAAGTCCATTGCTGTCGTGTGCCTAAATGCGATCCACAAGTATAAAGACTATGTTATCTTCCCCAAGAAAGGGCAGAAAAAACTGCAAGAATACTATATCATGGTGAATTTCCCATCTGTACTGAACATTGTCAGTGTTGCACATATAACTCTGAAGGGACCAGGGTTAGATAAGGCAGCTTATAGAAATAGAAAACATACCTGTTCCGTGTCAGCCACAGAAGATGCAAAGATGTTCACTCTCCTGCCACAAATTTAATATCTTGCCATTTCTTCTGACAGTGTTTGTCTCATTTACAGCCGCTGCTCTGTGCTGGCAAAAAGGGTTCTCATGTACTCCCCCATCAGCTCTTCCTCAACAAGGTCATTTCTGTAACTATTGTGTCAATTTTTGGGTCTTCTGGATGCTCCCATCACCTACACCTACCCTAAATCCTGTGATTTTCAGCCATTCTCCAAAGGTGTCTGAAAATATCCTGCTTTTATAATGCTCCTCATTCAGATTTTATTAGCATACACACGTGTATAATTTATGTATGCTAATATGAACTTCATATAGCTTTCAGGTTGGCCCTGCATACCAAGAAAGTTTGCACAGGCCCTTTTGAAAATCCCACTAATCTCAGTGCATCCCAGCAACTTTGTTACAGCCAAACATCTGCTTTGAAAATTCCTGGGATCCCACTTCAACCCCTAGATCTGGGGCCCAATGGCTATTTGTGCCTACCCAAGGTTTTGAAAATTTTTATTAGATTGTATAGAAACTACCAATTAGCCACTTCACAATCTAGTTCTACAGTGTTCAAGTACAGAACGTAAAATGCTGTTCTAATATCACTTTTTCAAACAAACTATTAATTCCTCACTATTCCCAAGGCTTTTAATTCATGTTCCTATGTCATTGTACTGTCCCAATAAGCCATAGATTCCCCATAAGAAGTTGGCTGAAACACTTTGAATGAGGGGGAGGCTGTGACTTTTTAAAATGGGGCCAGATGAGATTCATTGCTGGCCTGTGGTCTCCCCTTTCTGCCAGCTAGGCTGGGGCAAACAGGCCATAGGACAGGTGCAATTTCTGTAGTCCTAGAGCCTCTATACCATGTGTAGAGCAAGTTTGACATCTGTGCGCCACCTCACAAGAGCCCTGGCTGCAGAGGGCATTCTAGACCACAGATGTGGATGGGGCAGACCAGCATCTTGCTGTTTCTACACCCCAGCAATTTCTAACAGGGGCCATCACAACAAAGACAAGTTATGGCGATCTTCAGGACTACCCTATCCTATGAAAGGGGTAAATTAGTCCTGAACAGAGACAGTGCAAGCTGCCTTCTCTCTTTCCCCGCTGCTGCAATGGTGAGTTTGCCCCTAGGAGAACAGCAGTGCCTGGAGAGCATAGCATCATATAGTGTGAGTTTCTGACATCCCAGTGACTGGGTGTCCAGCTGAGGACTGGGCATCCAATACTAAGTGCATAATTTGAAATAACAAACACTGCCTGCATTCTTTGAAAATTCCCTATTTTCTGTGCACCCAAAATTGGCTAGCCAAATACCCCACAGAACAGTCAAAGGCCCTTTGAACGTTTCCAGGTGTGTGACATGCCCAAGGTCACACCGCAAGTCTGCAGTAGAGCCAGAGGGATTACCTGAGTCCCCATCGAGTACTCTAACTACAAGAACATCCTTCCTCTCCCATGTACTCTTTGTATAAACTCAGGCTCATCTTTTCAAACTCAGTCTCTGATCTTGTGCATGAAGAATCTACCACCATAGCACATTTTGTAAGTGGTAGGGAGTTCACCCTTGCACTTAACCAACACTTCCCTCCCTCTTCCTTTGTGCTCAGCAGAGCATCAGCCCATTGCTATGCCAAAGACAACCACAGGGGCAAGACTGGTGCAGCACACACAGAGTGTGTGAAGAACTTTGATCACTACAGGTTGGTTATGGCCACTCTGTGCCACCCTCTCCAGAAGAGCCTGTTAGACACATACGACAGGGCTAGCTAAGGATCAATACACCCTGTGGAGGGAGACTGTATTTTTTTCCCTTTTGCCAACAGTGTTGACCAAACTATTCAAATTCCACCCGTTCAGCTGTCAAAGGAGCTGTAGGATGCTCATGCCCTGGGTCTGGCAGGGGCTGTCTTGGCTAGCAAGGACCCTACTGTCTCCTTCACCCCTTGGCACCTGTCTAGGGTGACCAGACAGCAAGTGTGAAAAATCGGGACAGGGGGTGGGGGGTAATAGGAGCCTATATAAGAAAAAGACCCAAAAATCGGGACTGTCCCTATAAAATCGGGACATCTGGTCACCCTACACCTGTCCTCTACCCCTGCCCGTGAGCACCCTGCTGCTGCCCCACCCCTTTGCAGCCCTCTTCAGCCCCTGCCTTCCTTGGCCAAAGGGAACCCTACCAACACCAGCAGGGGCTACTCCTTAGCAACCACCTCCCCCCGCGCACTCTGGCAACTGCATGCGCCCACAGCCGCCCTTTTAACCACTCAGCATTGACCAGCCATAACCCCGCCCCTTCCTCCCAGCTAACCAATCCCGTTAAAGCTTGGGCGCGTTTTCCAAAGGCCGCCTACTTCAGCTTGCGAGGAGAAGGGGCTCGTGCGTTGCCAGGGGGCGGGGTTTATTTGTATCCGGCGCGAGCTGCCTGTCTGCCTGCCTGCCGGGGATTGGGTGAGAGCGGGAAGGGACTGACCAATGAGCGCCCTGGGCCGGGCCGAACCCAAAGGGGCGGGACAGAGGCCTGTTCAAACCGGTGGCGGCGGCCGGGGCTGAGCGCTGCGGAGCGCGCCGGGATGGTGAACCTGGTGAGGGGCGCCCGGCATGTCGGGCCCTGAGGGGTCGGTGTGGCGGGGAGCGCCGCTCGGCCTCCTCCCACCGCCACCTCAGCCGGGCCGGGATGTGTGGGGGGAGGTTACCCCGCCCCTGAGCCGGGGGGACGGGACCGGGTTACCCCACCCCCGCTCCTGAGCCCCCGGGGGGAGGGGACAGGGTAA